CTCTTTTGGGTGTATACATTAAATGCAAAATCAGAAAGGAATCATGCAAAAATCCGGTTGCCCATGCAAGCACCCCAGAGTCTAATCCTCTCCTCTCAGTTCTGTTGTCAGGCCACAGTAGTGTGGAGACTTGTAGGCTGCTGTCCTTGTTGTAATGAATGGGAAGAGGCTGACAGTGGCATAGTCGAAACCTTCACCTCTTCTTCCCCTGTGGAAAAGTCAGTCATGGTCTAGTTATGGGTGACTAGATTTGTTAACAGTCCCTTTAAAAATGATTTCAATATCTGGAATACTGACACATATATAAAATACATGCTTAACGGTTGGAATCCAGGTGTGAAACAAGACATGAATTTTTAAATATAAACTTATCAAGTACCTAGAAAGTAGTTACACTCTAAACACACCCATAATTTAATACTATGTTAGATTTAAGAACAAATATAACAGATTCAGGATTATAAATATACAAAAAGAAAAAAGAGAAAGACCAGGAAAGCCATTCTTTTCCAAGCCAATTGGACCCCTTATAAATTCAGATACTCCTAAAGTGAGTAGTATTTTGTGAAAAAATTAAAACTAAATTCATAGGAGTGAAAAATGTGACTTTTAGAAGGGAAAAACAACATGTTTTAAAAGCAGAAACTATGTGTAGTAAAAAGAAATAAAATGATATAAATAATTTAGAAAATTAACATAGAGCATCTGAAAATTCAATGTATATTTTTGAAGTAATTGGCAAATAGTAAAATGCTAAGAATACAATGATCCAATTGACTGAAAGTGAGATGACTACTTCTAGGTCAGAGAACCATACATGAAATGAGATCAGTTGTCCTAGTTATATGACTACAAGTGACTTGTTTCACCCATGACTCAAAATTCAATCAAGTCACTGTTAAAACAGCTAAATCAGAAACAAAGAAAAATGCCCTCATATGTGAAATTTGAATTAACAAAACACATGAAAAAAATCCAACCCTAAACAGTTTCAAGTATTTTTCTAAGTGGATCTTGAAACAATGCTTACAGACTTAGAGCTTATTATTGTTTGTTTTCCAAATAATTTTGAGCATTATGGAATAAAAACACCTGGCAGAAGTTCTTTGAAAAACAATTCTACAATATTACATTTAGAAAGACAGCTTAACTGGCATCAGGAAGAAAAAGACTTTTAGTCTTTAGAACAAGTTATTTCATATTTTTTCAGTAAATCGGCAGTCTATAAACCCCAAGTACATAAACAAGGAGGCTGAGTCAAGAAAATTTAGACTAGAGTTGTTGGTAAAAACATGGTATTAAAGAGGTCTAAGCAAGAGATTAATTTTCATCAAGCGAATAAATTTCATTCATCTTTTAAAAAACTATAGGCCATAACCCTGGTCTGGGCTAATTTTTTCACAAATAGGTATTGTTGATAAAAAGGAATCTGCAAGTATGTGAGAGCAACAATCAATTACTACGGGAAGAAAGCCAAGTGGTCTTCATATATGATGGAGTGCATCAGTGTTGTAGTGAAAAAACATTTCAGTAACTGAATGTGGGATCTGGGTTCTTATCTTAATTCTCCTATTAATTGAACATGTCACTTTAGCAAGTAATTTAACCTTTCTGGAACAAACTTTTGACATTCCTAAAGTGGAAGAATTGGGCAAGGTAAGTCACTTTCTAAAGTGAAAGCACATAGTTCCAATAATAAAGATCTGAAAGGACCCACTATAACTGCCTACAAAGTTTCCCCTCAAAAATTTTCAAAAACTCTTCCAAACCAACTGAACTGGATACGCAGCCAAGAAAATACTGCTAAAAAGATTTCACAAATTAAGGAAATAACTAATTTTAAGCACAAAAACATTTCAACTATGCAAAGGAAATGGAAGCCACATTTCTGTCAAACCTCTGGCAACTGTCCTTCCCATGATAGGTTTCAGATATACTAATCTTTAATAATGAACTGAAACAAACTAAAACTAAAAATTTAAATATGAATACAGAACAAACAGACACGGTATCTATGTGATATCTAGTTGACTGATACCTCTAAGTATCTGTCCTACAGGCAAGGATCCTAGTTTGCTCTGCTTATCCAAAGAATACACACATGCTTCTTTTCTAATGCAGAATATTGTTTAAGCATAACCAAAAGGCAGGTCTCACTGAAACAACATGTACTGTCCATTATGAAGCCTGCAACAGCTACCCTACAGTAAGATACCATGATAACCACTACAAGATACAAAGCTGAACCTACATCAATAGTTCAACTTAAGTACAAATGAGTTACAACTTTGAGGGAGGGATTAGATATTGCCTTGATATTAAACTAAACAGTTAAGATGCACATCATTTTGCTGAATTTTACTCTCTTATGGCTGTTTCTGAAAACCCTAAATCATCTAGCTACAATTATACAACTATTCTGTTTTGAGGCATAACACATTCAGTTTCCCTGAAGTAGCTGTCAAATGTCTATAAGCTATGAGAGGATTCTGTGTGACTCTTAATAACAATTTTAAATATTTTGATACATTAAAAATGAAATTTCTGTAGTCATCAGAGCCTTAAAAATAAGCTAATAATAAGCTTAATATAAGTCACCATTTAAATACCAAGCAAGTAAACACAGCAGAAAATGAAAATCTGAAATAGAAAATTCTCCCCACCTCCCCCAAAACATAACAATGATTCAGAACCTACAGTTGGTGACTTAAGAGTTTCTGAGCAGAAAGAGTATTTATGCTATATAATTAAGTGTATGTTAAAAGGAAAAAACCCCACAAAGTTAGGCCCATAACTTAATGCCACATTTTGTTTTCATAACGTTCCTTTAGATGAAGATTTCAAATGACTAACGTGAAGACAACTACACTCACAATCCACTATTCATTATCACTGTGGCATTTCCAGAATATCTACTGGTTTGAGTATTTGGGTTAAAACTGCTCTTTATGGGCTAATGGACAGTAACAATAACTGAAACTGACAGAATAATGTATCAAAGATGGTCGTGCAGTAAGTCAAATAAAAGCACAAGATGAGGTAAGCTAAGAACCAGAGTTCCACAAGCCATCCTCCTTCCTAATATACAGAGGCCATGCTGTCTGCCTTTCTGTCAGCACACTCCATCTTTTCATCGTATCTATACAATATATCAAAAGCACCTCCTGTTACAGAAGGCAATTCCATTGCTTCTTAATGTAATGACCTAGTACTTCCTGCCTCTATGCCTTTATTCAAGAGCTTTCATCAACATAAAAGGCCCTTCTCTTTCCCTCCTACTAATCAAAATCTAAGATACCATAATACAGATCAATGCCTACTTCATCAATAAAACCACCCCAACAATTATAGGCTCCACTGATGTTTCTTAGCATCTATTATCATAGTTATCACTTTCATACAAAATCTTAATTTTACCTCTTCAACTACACTGTAAAGTACCTAAAGACAGTATATCTCTTTTTATTAGCCACATGGCCTAGTTCACCATTGGGCAAACAGAAACCCAAATGTTCACTGTAAATTGGTTTGTTTTATTTTTAAGTGTTTGGAATATTTAGGGGAACTTAACTAATTTTCAATGTTATAATCAATTATGAGATACACTATTGGTAATTGAATGTCATATCTTTAAAAGATTAAAACGAAAAGACCAAATTACAGTCTAATATGCTGTCTTGGATGGAAGACAAAAAGGAGTATTGGGAACTGAACACTTGGCAACTCACAAGTGGTAATCATGTAGAAGGGGAGGACTGAAAAATGTCATTCTAGATTATCTACTACATAAACAAGTATCATAAGTCCCACCAATGTGCAAAGCACTACATGAGGTGCTATTAAACATGAGCAAACTAATTTCACTATACCAACTATTAACTTCACTATATCACCAGCCACAAACCTTTTTCTCATAACCCACCTACTGCACTGAAAATTAAATGTTGGTCGCAAAAGGCCTAGAGGCAAAGAACTTTGATGGATCTCTGTAAATTTACCTATTACCCCTTCTAAAAACAAAAGAATGAACGCTTTGCTGGTACAGCACATTATTAAAATAACACTGTGCCATGCCTGGTCTTTAAAGCCCAAGAAAAGGGATAAAAATTAATTTTATGAATATGCAACAGAATGAGGAACTATTTTATTTTACTTGACAGAAATCAGGAGAGGAACAAACTCTCTTTCTTACCAATCATTCTTTAAAGCCCAAATTAAATGAAAAACTATTAGTAAGAATGATTCCTTTAGCTATAGATGTCTCTTGATCTAAAAAACGTTAAAAGGGACCTTAAGACCCAAAAGTTCTGAAATCCTCAAGGGTAGCAGTACAAAACCAGAAGTATTCTGGCATCATTTACTGGAACCTAATATTTTCCCCAGAAATAAAAACATGACAGACCAAAAGGGAAAATATCTCTCCTTGAAAAATTTCTTTTTCACAGAAAGTATAGTCACATATGATATGTCTGTGAAACATTAATAATCAGAGTTCTCAAATATTAGGTACTTTATTAATATATAGCACAGGTTTGTCGTGTGTGTACATGTGTGCCTCAGTCAAAATAAGTAATTGCCAAAAGTAGTCATAGGGTGGCTTTATCCCTGATGCTCTCACTAAATAATTACCATCTTTAAAAATTTGTTTTAGAATGTGTAATCAGAATTTTTACCGTGGTGTTGGACTTTATAGCCATAATTTCAGAGCCCATTTTTTTCTTTTTGCATTTATGTGCCACTTGAAAGTTTGATATTAGTAAAATGCTTTCGAGCAGTAACTCAGTATAATACTCCACCATCCTTATAAAGCTCAATATTACAAGGCATCCATCCAATTAAAAATGTTTAGATTATGACAAGGACTTTAAATTTTTTCCCACAGAAATTTCCAAAACTAATGATAAATGCTCTCTGTTATTCAATAGCTCCCTCCCAGGCCCACCCAACAACCTGAAGGCATGAGTTATTCACAAATTCTCAAAGGCTATAAATGAACCTACCTGCTATAGGGATCCCTCCCAGACCTGTGTTGTGCTGTGGCGCGAGATTCAAGTCCAAGAAATTACTATTTGAGGTGGGGTTTGCTGTGTGGTTCAAGTGCATGATGCTATTGCGTGGAAAGGCCATCCAAGGATAGCGGGCTGCCTGGCCTGGAAAACTGAATGAATTATAAACCGCTCGATGCTGCTGAAATTGAGGGAACCTCTGTGGCAAGACTGAAAAGGTACTATTGAGAGAGTTGGCATTTGTAGGTGCAGCAGGATGCAGAAATCCAGAGCCAGGACCTTTGGCGGCTGTAGTGTGTGAAGAGGAGTTTTGAAGAGATGTGGGCGAAAGGGAAGGCTGGTCTTTGACTGACAGTTCCTTTTCAATCAGGTCTGCTAAGGCTTTTCGAGTGACATCAAAGGGATCAAAACCCAAGTCATCCTCTGGTTGTTTAGAAGAACCAAAGCCAAATGCTGCTTGCCAGTCTGTTGAGGACGATACTGGAATTGTCTCTGTTGGGAAGAAAATTAATGAGTTTAAAATACACAGCTCACCTTCACACTTAAAGGGAATCTGCACTAAAGTTAATGGGTCCTATTACAAGTCATATATAAATAAATCGGCATGGTTTCTTAGCACATCAAGATTATAAAATTACAAAAGGTATCATTTTTCTAGCAATAATTTCTTTTTTTTAAAAAAAAGATATATTTTATTTATTTATGCAGACAAAAAGTGGGGTGCAGGCCAGAGATGAGGGGGGATAAGAGCATTCACCAAAGACAGAGTGGGGAGCAGAACAGGTAGATCTACTTAAATACACTTCTGAAGGGAACAGTGGGTGAGACAGGAGAGGTCCACTGTGCCATATATGGTTTGGCTCCCTGGCCAGGGATGGAACTCATGCTGCAGTAGCTGGCAATAGCTTGATTGCGCTGAGACTTTAACCCCTGCACCACCAGGAAGTCCCTCTAGCAATAATTTCACTGTTAAGTTACCAATTTAAAAGCTGAATGACATAGATTGATTTTGCTAAGCAAAGGAAACAAAGTACTTGATACTCAAGTCACACTGTCAACCATTTACAATCAAAACCCAGAGTAAGTCATTTAAATGAAATCATAAATATGATCCGGCAGTTATAAAAGTTAATTTTTAAAAATGTAATCATCATTAAATAATTCTGAATACCTGATGTTTATAAACTGTTAAAAAATGTAATTTAATGAAAAATGTATCTAATTTTCAGTTTTTTAAACTGTCCATAGGTGCTATTGTCAATGTTAATTTTATGCTATTCTTCACATTCAGTAGTAATGAATAAAAATGGAAATGGCTCAAAATGTCAAAACGTAACTTTTTTTTTTAAAGTTTTTTTTTTTTTTTTATAGAGGCATGTTTTTATTTGTTTGTTTGTTTGTTTGTTTGTTTTGTTTATACATGCACTGGGTACAGTCAGAAGCGCGGGAGGGTGAGAATTCACCAGAGCCAGAGCGGGAAGCAGAACAGGCAGAAGGACCGAAGTACACTGCTGAGGGGAGCAGCGGGCGGCAGGAGAGGTCTGCGCACCATGTGGGACCCTCCTCAGGTGGCCAGGGAACAGCCAGGGATCGAACCGGCGTCGCAGAGGCTGCGGGCAGCTTCGCAACCCAGCGCTCAACCACTGCGCCACCGGGGAGGCCCTCAAAACATAACTTTTAATATTAATATATATCTCTTTGTTGGTGAGATGCGGCATGGGAAAAATACCCTCAATTTAATTATACAAATACAAATCTGATTTAAAATATAAATCTTTAAGATTTCCTAGAGAAATATGCATCATATTATCAGAAAAAGTAACCTAAACCCTTGATTTCTGAAAAGTCTGTTAAGATAGTAAGTTCTAGGTCATACAACAACTTATCTAACCATCCAATTCTATACAGTTTAAATGTTTACACCTCTCAGGAAAAAAGGAGTGGGGAGAAAAAGGATAAAAAACATGTCCATCGAGGGTTCCATGCTAGTCTGTGCGTAATCACTACCATGTGGCAGTACTGTTATATACCTGACGTGAAGAGGCTCTGTGGTTCTGGTGCTGTAGGCCAGTCACTGGATGTCTGTGGGGAACTGGGGAAAGGAGGAAGCCCACTTGGGATAGGGTTGGGATGACGAAAGTTGTCCGAGAATAACGACTGTGACTCAGTTACCGCCCCTTCAAAAGGTGACCGTGCACTGTGATTAGATGAACTGATGGGGATGACTGGATTGGATTTTGATAAACCAGGTGGTGGTGAAGGTGTATCACTATTAGATATCTAAATAAAAAAAGAAAAGAATAATCAATATGAATTTACACATTTTAAATAAGCCACAATTAACAGGGCTAACTGGAACAGAGCAGTGATCTTCGGTCAGTGATATTTGAGTGCTTTTTTTTTGAGAATATGAATATTCAGAAATCCAAGTACTCTTCTAAAACCAACCCTCCTGAAAAGACAAAGTTGATCTCCTCTCCTTATACAACCTAACTTTTCTTACTTTTCAAAGGAATGTATATTTCCCATTCTCTGAGATCTAACTACAGTATTTTGCTCCAGAAGGAAAACTCCCTAGGAAGTCAAACAAAAACTTACTAGGAATATTCATAACAGAGATGAAAGAGTGACTCTCAGATTCTCTTGCCATCTAGGCAATTTCCAATTTTTTAATTTTTGAACAAAAATCAAAATCAAGTTACTTCCCAAAATGTCATTCAAAATACTTTATAGGATAAATCATTATATGATCTAGGTATTAATTCAGAAAGAGTTCAAAGATTTGAATGATACTGATGTCATTCCTTCCATCTACTTTGCTATAGGAACAAGATGTCTCAGCACATACATTCAGAAAAATAAAGACACTATAGAGTTGCTGCTGGAAACTGCCTCCTTTTACCTATCTAGGGAAATCTGAGAATTAAATTTAAAATGGCCCTAGCTATCTTATTAAGAGACAAATTTCCAATATATTTTCAGCATTTATGTTAAAGACAAATTTTTATCAAAATCTATTCCTGTGTAAATTTACTTTGATTAAATCAAAACTACAAATAAAAATTCAGAAGAAATTTGAAATTCAAAGTCTTATGTCAGCAAAAATATTTTTGTCTTTTTATTTGAAATAAATATATGCCTGTCAAACATAAATTATACTGCATTAAGAAAAAAAAGTCTGTAATGGCAGTGGAAAAGGAAATTCAGTTCAAGGAGGAAAAGGAATGATATAAAATTTCTAATTGTTAAAGAAGCTAGGGCATGTTTTAAAATTGATGAGGCAGCAACAAAATGGTCCAATAATTTAACTTCTAAGATCTCATTAAAAAGCATTGTAATGCTTTTATGTAAAATAAAAATATTTACACTATGCTGGAAATTACATCCTTTGCAACTACTTTCAACTTATGAAAAAATGTTTTTTTAAAGATTTATTTATTTATTCATACAAAAACTGGGGTACAGGCCAAAGGTGTGGGGGTAGAGGATTCACCACAGAGTGGGGAGCAGAATAGGCAGATCTACTGAAATACACTGCTGAGGGGAGCAGCGTGTAAGTCAGGAGAGGTCTGCTGTGCTATGTGGGTAGCTTACTGGCCGGGGATCAAACTCATGCTGCACTGGCTGCAGATAGCTTCATAGTTTGCTTCTTAACCCCTTGCGCCACCAGGGAGGCCCTAATATAAATCTAAAAAAGTATAAGATTATTAAATTATTTTATTGAATTTGTGAGCAAAAATCTGGAGAAGCCCTGTATTACAGATCTCTTCAGTTTCTCATAAACATTGTGGCGAACTGGTCATTCTTTATGGAAGAAATTAAAACTATACATATATAGAAAATAATAAATTAAAACTATAATTTTTTTTTCTACCAATGTAAAAAGATGTACGGAATTTTAAGCAGTGAAAAACTAACAAGTGGACAAGATGATATAAAGCAGACTCTAAAAATCAGAAGTTCACCCAGGATATGATTGTGCTTATAATTTTAAATAAAACTATCATTCAAAACCCAAAGTTATTTGGAGAAAGGAGGAAAGTGTGGGAAAGGACTTGGAGAGAAATAGAAAATTAAAGTCAACAGCCAGAGATAAAAGGAACTTATAGCAGAGAAACAATTCTTAAAATCAAGAACTACAGAAGATACACTACTAATCTGGGACTATTTTGGATATAGTTGAAAAGATCAATAATATCAGCAAGCTCAAAGAACATTAGGGTAATGCCACACAGCACAATAACACATGGTAATAATGATAATTCTGAGTCATCAAGAACGGGTTAAATTATGAGGCTAAAAATACATTTAACAGAAGATGTCCATTAAAAGCATTTTAAAATAGTTTCTGTATTTAAAGTGCTTTTCACTGTCTGGAAAATTCACTTATGTAAAAATAGCTTGTTTTGGGAGAATGGCAGATAAAATAATTGATACAGTATCAAAATCTTACCTGCTGGGAATTATCACCATTCCCTATACTGAGAGAATCTGAAGGTTTATCAATGGGGCTGTAAAAAGAAAACAAATTGAACAAAATCAGAGTAAAGTCAATTCTTTTCCACAACAAAACCAACCGCTCCAAGTTAAAAAAAAAAAAAAGATATTTTATCGTCTCAAATTTATTGAAGCACTATGATGTAGTGCTTGGACATTAGGTCCAATGTTGAGGACTCAAAAAAGTACATGTAAGATAAAATTCTTACCCTTGAAGAATTTACAGATTCTAATTAGATTCTCTAAAAACAATGGAGTAAATAAATAATGGTTTATGAAAAAAAGGTAACAGGTCAAAAGTCTAAACCCCAGAATTTAGTTTTCTGCATGTGATAAAAATATTCCCAATTAAAATTCTTCAAATAATACTCACCCATTTTTCTAGGTGTCTGACCAAAGGGCATAAAAGTTATTAAAATGTTCTTTATGTTACTAAGAACAATGCATTTCTTTTGATACCTCAATATCTTAATCATAAGCCCAAAGGCACAGGCACATGTGTACATACACATACACAAACTACACGTGCAAGACTAACAGAAAAACTTTTGTGCAAACTGTAAAAAGAATAACCTTAAAACTTGACTTCCATATAGAGAAAATCCAGTACCACAGTTATGAAACAGAGAATTGCTAACTTCAAGTCCATTTTATCTTGTCTAACCTAAAAATATAACAAAATCTTTTATACACATTGTAACACTGACCTAGTGAATCACTTCTGTAACTTTATTTAACCTAGCACATGAACAAAAGAGGCTTAATTCTGATTAATATTATAGCAAAATAATTAAGATCTCGGATTTCTCAACTTTATTGCTTGGAAATATATACCAAGCAACTTAGGGACAACTTACAGGCACTACATTTTAAATGCTTTAGAAAAGTTAAACAAGGGCTAGTATGCTATTTGAATACAAACTATATTTTCTGTAGGAATATTACCAGACGCTCTTGAATTTGAAAATAAGTCTGAAATTTACTTGAAGAACGTCCTTACTTATTTATCAATAAATCAAGTTATATTATTAAGTAGATAATACCAAGAATTTAAAGTATAGAGATACTTGAGTAAACCAGACAGGCGCATACCAGCTCTATCAGTCAGTGCCAACTATTTAGTGAATTGGCTAATCAACAAAAGACATTGGTCTTTAGAAAAAAGGCGGCGCTAAAAGTGGAGCAATGAGGGGATGCTTCCTAAGGGAGTTCTAATTTGTAAAAAAAGATTACACAATAAGGAAAAGGAATGGAAAGGGGAAAAGAACATATTAAAGGTAGGAGTAGCAAGTGTGTCAAGAATCAAAAGATTGGAAATAGAGTAGGGGAAAAGTTAATTAAGTTAACATTCAGGAACATTTTTATAACAACGGTAGGTAAGATAAAAAGAAAACCAGAGGTCAGACACTAGAGGTCAATGGAAATTTTAAGCACAGAGTGTGTTTTAATACAGCTAATGTGAGGTAAACTTGCAATAATTTGGAAAACATACTTTACATAAAATTTACCATATTAACAATTTAAAGCCAAAATTTAGGGGTATTTAATATATTCACATTCCTGTGCAAGTGCCACCACCCATTCCTATAACTTTTTTTATCCTGTAAAACTGAAAACTCTAATACTAACTTCCTATTTTCCCTCTTCTCCCAGCATCCACCATTATTTTTGATTACTCTAAGTACCCTAGTATTTGTCTTTTTGTGATTACCTTATTTCACAAACAAGAACTCCCTCATCTGTGTTGCAACATGCAAGAAAACTTCTTTCCTTCCTAAGACTCAATAATATTCCATTTGTGTATATGATATTTTGTTTGTCCATTCATCTGTCATAGACATGTGTGTTGCTTCTACATTTTAGATATTATGAATAATGCTGCTTATAACATGGATATTCAAGATCTATTTTCAATTCTTTTAGCCAGAAGTGGAATTGATGAATCACTTGATAATTCTATTCTTAATTTTTTGATGAACTGTCATACTATTTTCCACCTCAGATATATCATTTTACATTCGCATTGACAATGCAGTGTTCCAATTTCTCTATATCCTTCTCTGCTTTTTAATAAGAGCTGTCTTAATGTGTGAGGTGATATCTCATGGCAGTTTTGATTACATTTCTCTAATGATTAAGATGTTAAATATCTTTTGATGTCTTTATTGATTATTCACATATCTTCTTCACAGAAATATATATTCAAGTCCTTTGCCATTTTAAAAATCAGATTGCTTCATCTGTTGTTGAGTTTTAGAAGTGTTTTATATATTCTGGATATTAATCCCTTATCAGACACAAGATTTTCAAGTATTTCCTCCCATTCTGTGTATTTACATTTTACTTTGTGGATAGTTTTCTGATGTACAATTTTTAAAAAATTTTTATCAAGTTCGAATTGTCTTTTTCTCTTTGCCTTTTTCTTCTGTGCCTATGCTGTTACATCCAAGAAACCACTGTCAAATTAATGTTGTGAAGTTTATGTACTATGTTTCCTTTAAATGATTTTGTTTTAGGTGTTACATTTAGATCCATTTTGAATAAACTGAATAGTTTTATATATGGAATTAGGTAAAGATACAATCTTTCTTTTTATATAATTGTGTAGTTTTCCCAGCACCAATTGTTGAAAAGATTGTCCTTTCTTAGTGCTAATCTTGGCACCTTTCAAGAATCAGTTAACCTATGAGTGTCTAACAGTTTATTCCTGGGCTCTATTCTATTCCACTATGGCCTATATGTCTGTCTTTGTGTAACACCATACTGTTGTGATTAGTGTGGCTTTGTAGTAAGTTTTGAAATCAGAACGTGTGGGCCCTCCAGTTTTGTTCTATTTCAAGATTGTTTTTGGCTATTGGGGGTCCCTTAAGATTACATATGAATTTTTTTTTAAAGGTTTATTTAATTTTATACAAGAACCGGGATACAGGTCAGAGGCACAAGAGGGTGAGAGGATTCACCAGAGACAGGGCAGGGAGCAGAACAGGCAGACGGACTGAAAGCACTGCTGAGGGGAGCAGTGGGCAAGACAGGAAAGATCTGCCATGCCATGTGGGAATCACCCTGGCCAGCTGGGAATCGAACCAGTACTTCAGAGGCTGCGGACAGCTTCACAGACAGTGCTCAACCCACTGAGCCAGCGGGGAGGCCCTACATATGAATGTTAGGATGATTATTTTATCTGCAAAAATATCATTGAGATTTTGATAGTTCACTGATTCTATAGATAGTTCTGGGGGGAAATAATATTTTAATATTATCAAGTTTTCCAGTTAGTGAACATGGGGTGTTACCCTTAATGTATTTAGTTTTTTCCAGAAATGTTTTGTGATTTTTACTGTACAAATCTTTCACTTCCTTATTTTCTAAGTATGTTATTATTTTAGATGCTGCTGTAAATTAAACTGCTTTTGTGATTTCCTTTTCAGGAACAGAAATGCATGTAATACATTTATATAGAAATGCAACTGATTTTTGTGTTAACTTTGTGTCCTGCTACAACTCTGAATTCATTAGTACTAACAGGTCATTTTTGGGTAATCTTAAGAATTTTCTACATATAAATCATCTGCAAATCTTTTATTCTTTTCAATTTGAATGCCTTTCCCTGGCTAACTAACACTATCCAGTACTATGTTGAATAGAAGTAGTGAAAGCAGGCATCCTTGTCTTGCTCCTCATCTTCGAGGAAAAGCTGTCAGTCTTCCACAAATAAGTATGATAGTCACTGTGAGGTTTTCATAAATGGTATTTATGAAATGTCCTTCTATTCCTAGGTTGCTCTTCATCATGACAAGAGTAATGAATTTTGTCAAATGCTTTTTCGACATGAGTGTGTTTTTTTTTTTTTTTGGTCAGAAGTTGATCTGGCAAATTATATTGATTTTCATATATTAGGATCATCCTTACATTTCAGGAATAAATTTCACATGGTCAGGATGGAAAATTCTTTTAATGTGCTGTTGAATTATTTGTTAGTATTTTATTGAGGATTTTTACATCAATAGTCACAAGAGATACTGACCTATCTATAGTTTTCTTCTATTGTCTTTGTCTAGCTTTAGTATCAGGGTATGAGTTAGGATGCATTCCGTCCTGTTTAAATACACTGGGAGAAGTCTGAGAAAGCTGGTATTAATTCTCCTTTATTTTTTGGTAGAATTCACCAGTAAAGCCATCAGGTCTCATGGTTTTCATTGTTGGGAAATTTTTGATTACTGATTCAATCTCTTTATTGTATATTGTATATTGTATTGTATTCAATCTCTTTATTGTATATTGTATCTATTTGAATATTGTATTTCTTCATGATTAACTTTTGTTGGGTTTTGTTTCTAGGAATTTGTCTATTTCATCTAGTCTATCCAATTTATTGGCATATAATTGTCATACTATTCTCCCATAATCCTTCTGATTTCTGTACAATCAGCAGTTATGTCCATACTTTCATTTCTGATTTAGTAAATTGAGCCTTTTTCTTTTTTGTAGTGCATCTAGTTAAAGGTTTTTCAATTTTATTGATCACTGAAGACGAAACTTTTAGTTTCACTGATTGCCTGTTTCTGTACTATCTATTTTATTTCAAGTCTTTCTTATTTCTTTCCTTCTACTAGCTTTGTGTTTAGATTTTCTTTTCTCTAGTTAAGTTGCAAAGTTAGGTGGTTAACACAGGGTTAACATGGGGTTAACAGGATAACACGGGGTTATCTTTTTAATGTCAGTATTACTTTTTCTATTTTCTATTAGCTTTGGTGTGTGATGCTTTCATTTTTATGTATTTTTCTAATTTACCTTGTCATTCTCCTTTGATAAATTAATTGTGTAATGGTGTTTAATGTCCACAGTTTTCATATTTCCTTTTGTTAATGATTTCTAACTTCATCCTGTTGTGGTCTGAGAAGATATCAGTATGATATCTTTTTAAATCTAAGATATTTCATTTGTTTCCTGATATATGGTCTATTCTGGAAAACGCTCCATGAACACTTAAGAAGAATGTGTACTCTTATTGTTG